CCTTTCAAGATGTACTGGTGGTTGTAGTGGTAGGTAAGGTGGGGTGTGTTGACGTTATGAAGCCTTTCAAAGATGTACTGGTGGTTGTAGTGGTAGTAGAGGAGAGGTGTGTTGACGTTAGTGAAACCTTTCAAGATGTTCTGGTGGTTGTGGTGGTAGCGAGAGTAGAGTAAGGACGGTGTGTTGACGTTAGTGAAGCCTTTCAAGATGTACTGGTGGTTGTAGTGACGTTATGATGCTGACGTTAGTGAAGCCTTCAAAAGATGTACTGGTGGTTGCAGTAGCGAGAGGTAGAGTGTGTTGACGTTAGTGAAGCCTTTCAAGATGTTCTGGTGGTTGTAGTGGTAGTGAGAGTAGAAGTGTGTGACGTTAGTGAAGCCTGACGATGTTCTGGTGGTTGTGGTGGTAGCGAGGAGAGTAGAGTGTGTTGACGTTATGATGCTGACGATGTTCTGGTGGTTGTAGCGGTGGTTGTAGGAGAGTAGAGGTCAGTGTGATGACGTTAGTGAAGCCTTTCGATGTACTGGTGGTTGTAGTGGTGGCGAGGTGGGGTGTGGTGACGTTAGTGATGCCTGACAAGATGTTCTGGTGGTTGTGCAGTGGTAGTAGAGGAGGTGTGTTGACGTTATGATGCCTGACGATGTTCTGGTGGTTGTAGTAGCGAGGTAAGAGTAGAGTGTTGACGTTATGATGCCTTTCGAGATGTTCTGGTGGTTGTAGTGGTAGCGAGGTGGTAGAGTGATGACGTTATGGTGCTGATGCTGGTGGTTGTAGTGGTGGTGAAGCGATGTTCTGGTGGTTGTAGTGGTGATGAGTAGAGGTGGGTGTGTGATGACGTTATGACACTGGCAAGATGTTCTGGTGGTTGTAGTGGTAGCGAGGAGAGTAGAGTGATGACGTTATGACACTGACGACGTTCTGGTGGTTGTAGTGGTAGCGAGGAGAGTAGAGTGATGACGTTATGACACTGACGACGTTCTGGTGGTTGTGTAGCCTGTAGCGGTTGGAGAGTAGAGTGATGACGTTATGATGCTGAAGATGTACTGGTGGTTGCAGTGTGATGGTAGTGGTGGGAGTAGAGTGATGACGTTAGTGAAGCCTTTCAAGATGTTCTGGTGGTTGTGGTGGTGAGCGAGGTGGGTAGAAGTGATGTTGACGTTATGACGCTGACGATGTTCTGGTGGTTGTAGTGGTGGTGAGAGTAGAGTGATGACGTTATGATGCTGACGATGTTCTGGTGGTTGTAGTTGGTAGTGGAGAGTAGAGTGATGACGTTATGAAGCCTGACAAGATGTACTGGTGGTTGTGGTGGTGGTAAGGTGGGGTGTGTTGACGTTAGTGAAGCCTTTCAAGATGTACTGGTGGTTGTAGTGGTAGCGAGGTGGTAGAGTGATGACGTTATGAAGCCTTTCAAGATGTTCTGGTGGTTGTGGTGGTAGCGAGGAGAGTAGAGTGATGACGTTAGTGAAGCCTTTCAAGATGTTCTGGTGGTGGTTGTGGTGAGGAGGTAAGGATGACGTTATGATGTGACGACGTTAGTGGTTGTAGCCCTTCAGAGATGTGACGTTATGATGCTGGTTGTGGTGTAGTGGTAAGGTGGAGGTGTGATGACGTTATGATGCCTTCAAGATGTTCTGGTGGTTGTGGTGGTAGCGAGGAGAGTAGAGTGTGGACGTTATGAAGCCTTCAAGATGTTCTGGTGGTTGTAGTGGTGGCGAGTGGTAGTGTTGACGGGTGAAGTGACGTTAGTGATGCCGTTAGTGAAGCCTTCAAGATGTTCTGGTGGTTGTGGTGGTGGTGAGGTGGGTAGAGTGATGACGTTAGTGAAGCCTTCAAGATGTTCTGGTGGTTGTAGTGGTGGCGGTGAGGTAGGTGTGTTGACGTTAGTGATGCCTTCAAGATGTTCTGGTGGTTGTAGTGGTGGTGAGGAGGGTGAGTGATGACGTTAGTGATGCCTTTTCAAGATGTACTGGTGGTGGTTGTGGTGATGGTAAGGTGGGGTGTGTTGACGTTAGTGAAGCCTTTCAAGATGTACTGGTGGTTGTAGTGGTGATGGTAAGGTGGGGTGTGTTGACGTTAGTGAAGCCTTTCAAGATGTACTGGTGGTTGTGGTGGTGAGGGTAAGGTGGGGAGTGGTGGCATTAGAGATGACATGGAAGAGGTATTATGATTGTACCGATCGAGTTTGTAGTTGTAGAGATGGCGAGAGCAAGGTAGACAGACATTAGTTATGACACATGAAATATATATGGTTGAAGTGGTAGCGAGGAGAGTAGAGTGATGACGTTATGACGCTGACGACGTTCTGGTGGTTGTAGCGAGGAGAGGAGAGTGATGACGTTATGACGCTGACGACGTTCTGGTGGTTGAAGTGGTAGCGAGGAGAGTAGAGTGATGACGTTATGACGCTGGCGACGTTCTGGTGGTTGTAGTGGTAGCGAGGAGAGTAGAGTGATGACGTTATGACGCTGACGACGTTCTGGTGGTTGTAGTGGTAGCGAGGAGAGTAGAGTGATGACGTTATGACGCTGACGATGTTCTGGTGGTTGTAGCGAGGAGAGTAGAGTGATGACGTTATGACGCTGACGACGTTCTGGTGGTTGTAGTGGTAGCGAGGAGAGTAGAGTGGTGACGTTATGACGCTGACGACGTTCTGGTGGTTGAAGTGGTAGCGAGGAGAGTAGAGTGGTGACGTTATGACGCTGGCGATGTTCTGGTGGTTGTAGCGAGGAGAGTAGGGTGATGAAGTGATGACGCTGACGACGTTCTGGTGGTTGTAGCGAGCGAGGAGAGTACAGTGGTGACGTTATGACGCTGGCGATGTTCTGGCGGTTGTAGTGGTAGCGAGGAGAGTAGAGTGATGACATTATGACGCTGGCGATGTTCTGGTGGTTGTAGTAATTGGACAAGTGGGAAGTGGTAGCGGTTATTCAGTTGTTAACGACCTTCTCTGATCTATTGGCGATGATCGGTTACGTGTTCTAGCCTCCAGTAGCTACGCAGCAAGATATGATAAAATGATTATTTCAAATGTCACAGACAACTGTTGCAGAATATTTAATATCCCATTGCGGCCTATTCTATTATTTCAACACACCGGACGTTATTCATATAATCTCGCCTCAAGCAGTGCAAGACCCTGTCTACCTCTCCTCACATTAATGATCTCTCGGCACCAGCTGTTTGGAGAAGCACATGCTTCATTACTGAAGCTCCTCTGATCTCGTGGCGTAATACTCTGAAGACATAGCCCTCTCCTCGCGACATTCTCAGATGCAGTGAGCGGAGTGCAAGATCTCGCTTACTTATGTCGTGTGACTGCATGTTGTCCTGATGTTGGTATTGTCGTGTGCCGGCGTTGTGCTGGTCCGTCAACTGACTCAACATATACGTCCCATCTGATTTTCACCCAGCTAGATACCAGCTGTTAAGTCATTTCCAAAATAGACTTCACTGTCTCACGTTTGTGGTCGCACTTGGTCGCTCCCTTGTCATATTCTGTGGTAATTAACTCGTGTCTAGGTCATATCCATAGAAATCCCTCTTAAATACTGACTCGTCCTCATGCTGCGAGATCTAAAAAACGGTTAAATCTGCTTTATCGTCGGGGTTTTGTCGTCGAAAGCTTTCAATTAGTTGATGTCGACCAGCCCACACATTCATCATCCGTGGCAGGGTTTCCAAAGGTTGCTCATATCTGTCTTCTATGCGGCGTATTCCCTACCGAATTATACGAAAGGTTAAAGAAGCGAAGTAATCTTGTCTCCAAGCACTTACTGGAGTCTGTTGTTCTACAGCTTATATTCTGATTAGTTCACCTGTGCGTGTTGTAACGGATGTGTACTGTTTGACACCTAATACATAGAAACATGTACATCCCTCCAGAGCGATTTGCATGAATCTTCAAATGTGAACATAAAATTTCGTTGGAAATGTTGGCATACGATACAATAGGTTATGTTGACACGCCATTTTATGCCATATCTGGTTAGGATGTGGGTGTTAGCATGTAAAGTCGATATATGACTCGACGCCTTGTTCTGAACTTTTAGTAACGTTAAACACCCTGCTTGTACTCGCACAGTTAGATGATAGACAAACACAGACTACAGTCGATTGTCGTGAAAGTAAACTCACAGTTAATCGGTATTTATTAAGCAAACAATTGTAGGCAGATTATGTTTGGTGCTTACATGAAGTAAATGTGTGCTTGTCTGTCTATATGGAGGGGTGTATAAATATTGTCATCCTCGGTCTTTCATTCTGTCCTTCAGTTTAAAATCATTCAGTTTCCGGTGCAGTATCAATAATCTATAAAATAGGTTTATACAGTGAATCACACACGTTTCAGATCACATATATCAAGTGAATTTTGGTTTCAAATGAAGGCTGGCAGTTTCCGGGAAAATGTGTCAACGATCAATAGTTCATATACTCTTTGGGAGTGTCTGGGTATATGTGCAGACATTTGGACTCTGGTTTGTTTTTGACCTTGCTTTTTACGCTTTAAGTTATAACTTATGTTAATATACAAATTCCACGTGACCCATCCAGTTTCGCTTATGTTAGCTACTTTGACTATGCAGCTGGTAAATCGGTTATGTGAGTTGTACTATTTGTGTTATCCACGTCTGTTTAGTTTTGACACATAAGTCTGATTTGATTTGTGAGTTAATATATTTGTGTTATGCATATTTAATCTCAGACACCAAGGGGTTATTTTGTGACTTGTGAAACTTATTTGTGCTTGATTGTGTTATGATGACTCTTTTGAGAGTGAAGTATATTCTACGTGTATTTGTGTTGTGAATGTTTGTGTTGTGTGAATGAATTATTCAATTTGTGTTATGCATCCTTGTATAGTTTGGAAGTTAATCATGCAAGGCTGAAACGTCTCGGCACATCGTGACTGGAATCTACCACGCAATGTTTCAGTAGCTATTTCTAGACGCACGTGATTCTGTATTCTGACCTGAACTAAACACTGTCTTGTTTTTCAGCTGATCACGACGTCGAAGACACATGTCACTCAGACAGCCACATCCGCAACATGAGGCCGGAACAGTCTGAAACCGAGAGTTCGGCAGATCCTCTACACATTACCACATTAACTGATGACGTAGAACGCAGGGACGATGTGCCCGTGTTAGCTTGTGAGAATGGTTTGTGGAATGGAATTCAACCCAAACCGAAAAAGCAGCATTATGTTATAAAGAAAAGATTCTGGAACATGAGACGTCCCGAGAAGTGTCGAGAGGCTACTATCCTGACGACTGGTATTGTGTTGACGTGCATAGCACTGGGTCTGATCGTGGCGGGGTCGGCGAGGCTGCGAGAGTGTCAGACTATCACCATGGTGAGGGTATGTGCTGTTTTACACAAATACGACATGAAACACATGTGACATCATTTTGTCGGAATTCTCCGTTGCCTCTTCCCATTTTAGAGCAAATATTGTATGGTGAGGACCTATTCACACATGACATAGAAAACGTCATTTGTTGACAGGAGATAGGTATAATCAAAGTAAATTCGGAACTTGGTAAAGAGATATCAAAGAAATACCTTTGTATGTATTTTTATATATCTGGGTTAAATTTGATATTCAACCACCCAAACGTGTCGTAACGGAAACTATCGAGAGGCCTGGCTCGTTGACTTGGTTAAGGCTTATCATCGTATCCCAGTGTATAGATTGATTCTCATGATGTCAATCACTGGATTTACTGGTCCAGAATCGATTATTTACATACTGATATTGCTCAGAGCGGCGTTAAACAACAATCAAACAAACATGGAATACCTGACATAGAACACTGCTCTAGTAGCTTCTCTGGATGCAGCGTGACCTAGTTGGTCTACAGGATCTACCTTCCCTTGCGGAACTGAGCTCCTGAACCTTGTCCACATACAGTGATATAAGTGTCGAGTTCTAGCTTCTCTACGATATTGATCTTATTTGGTCAATACAATAACCATGGTTTTTGGTTTTATCAAAGTGAAAACAACAATAAACATGCCGCGTTCGTCGAGTCAGGGATCTCAGACATTAACTTGTCATGTAGCTGAATTTATGAAATTCTGTTCAAAGCGCCATTAAACCATCCAGCTGGTGTTCCGTAAACATCAGGAAACGTGACACATAATCTGATATCTTAATCATCTTTGTGATGAGGCTGCTGATCGTTTTATCAACTCTTGAAAACATACAGCTGAGTAATAATGGTTGTTGTAAAGCCTTCGCCTTTCCATTAATCTGAAAACTCTCAGGTTTCTTGACATTGGGAAAAGGCTTTTAGGCAAATTAACCAGAATAAAGGAAGATTTTCCATCATCCTCAGGTAATTCGTTACAGATAATATGTATTGCAGAAATAATGCTCAGCACATGGCTCGGAATCATCTTTAACAATAATATATCGGACTCTGAAAAATATTAATGATGTGACATGGACTAAAGAAACATAATCAAGATATTGGATTTAAAACGTGTAAAGGTCAACGGAAAACAAATTATATGAAATATTAAAGAAGTAAGGCGAAATGTGGGATTCAGGAGCAAAGTTGTTAACTTCCGAGGAAAGGGTTGCTGTGGTAACAGTCGACAAAAATAGGAAATGGTTGGTCACGACGTTGGCCTCACTGGATATGAGTTAGTATATCCCGACGGCGTATGAGGCATTATCGGATTATAGAACGAGTGTTAATGCTGGATGTATGTATAACTAATAATTGATGAACTGCATCTGAAATTGTCTGTGGGCCGAAAGCAATATAGAGATGCCTTGTTTCAATATGAATCTAGATTTACTATAGTGTCGATAAACGTAATGCAATACAAAAACATAGTATGATCAATGATGAATAATGAATAATTTGGTAAGACTTTACCATTCATTTTTCAAGCTACTTGTAAGATTCGTTGCGCTATACCAACCGGAAATATCTCCTTGCATCCTACCTAGCCATTTAATAAACATCGGACATGTTAGGCTTAAAGTTCAAATTAAGCTATAGATCTACATTTCTGGAACTTTAGAGCAATGAGCACATAAATGAGTGGCTGAGTGTGTTATTGCGCCGCTTATGGCAATATTCCAGAGACACCAGAAACAGATTTCACGTTTTGTACCCACTGTGGGGAATCGAACCCGGGACTTTGGAGTGGTGACGCTTGAACCACAAATGAATTCACCGCCCTTATGGCAGGGTATGAAACTCCCAAAATATTCAGCCAGACCACAGGGCTGGTTAGATTTAAAACTTGCCAGCCCTGACCAAAACTTACCTGCCCACAAAATATCTTCATATATACATGTATAAACCTTCACCGGACTGTCGGGCAGGTGAATTTGAGAATCTGGCAGTCCGTGTTCAAAATAACCCGTCCCGGGCTGTCGGACAGGCAGGTATTTCGAACGCTGTTATGCATAAAATGCTGGTACAATAGTAGTACAAATATTGGAGTTGTGTATTTTATGTACTGACATACTGATACTTTGATATATAATGCCACTGTAATGAGGGCAGAGTTCATCAGCATGTACGTCCCCGTTGCATGCTGACAATGATGGATGCCGTGCATCAGTAACACATCAAATCAGAGAGATATCAAAGAACACACCATGTCTCACCAAGCCTTTAGTACTGCTTCTGTTGCAGCTGAAGCACCCGGTGGGAGAAACCACAGTGGAACACATCGGGGACGAGTTCTTCACATACAGTGAGTAGTTCATTTATCTCATTGCAGCTGTATGGACGCATGTATACAGGTAGATCAATCCAAGACATGAATAAATAGATCACCATTAAAACCTGAAGATTTGTTTGCTTGTTAACCAGTATGGCATGATATAACCAGTATGGCATGAATTAACCAGTGCGGCATGATATAACCAGTACGGAATGATATAACCAGCACGACATGAATATAACCAGTATGGCATGATATAACCAGTATGGCATGAATATAACAAGTATCGCATGATATAACCAGTACGGTATGATATAACCAGTACGGCATGAATATAACCAGTATGGTATGAATATAACCAGTACGGTATGATATAACCAGTATGGCATGAATATAACAAGTATGGCATGATATAACCAGTACGGTATGATATAACCAGTACGGCATGATATAACCAGTATGGCATGAATATAACCAGTACGGCATGATATATCCAGTATGGCATGAATATAACCAGTATGGCATGATATAACCAGTACGGTATGATATAACCAGTACGGCATGATATAACCAGTACGGTATGATATAACCAGTACGGTATGATTATAACCAGTATGGCATGAATATAACCAATACAGCATGAATATAAACAAACAAGCATCAAATATCGCGTATTGTTGAACTCATGAACTTAGATCATGAAATCACGAATCATGAACGAATGAGTTGGTCATCTATTAAACTTAGTGAGACTTATATTGTTTGTATTTTAGGCAACCGATATTTTGATAGATAGGTATTGCCAGCATCATCTCATTCCTTTAGACGGAATTTCTAGGAACAAAATCAACTTCCGAACAAGCGTGATCAAACCAGATTGGTCACGCAAAAACTGAATTTCCAATATCTTTCGAGGTAGAAAACGACAATATTGGATGCAAAAAGCATAGTTTTATGGTAAAGCATAATCAAGCATAAACACGTGGGACCATTGCCAACCCCAGTGATTGGTCTAACCGGTGGAGGATGAAGGATATTCAAGTCAGAAGGATAAACATTGCAATCTCTGTTACTAAGAATTCAAAATCAATTTCAGTTTGGTTAAGACTATGCATCACGTAATTAGTAAGATTTATACTGAAATTATCGGGAGAGGTTTGTAGGAAACACAATTAAAATGACGTTGTCGGATAATAGTGGGACCTTATTTAATCAATGTCATTTGTTTTAATCTGAACTTTGCGAGGAAGGATGTCGCCAGCTGTTTCCAAGTTAACTCGTGACTGTAACTGTGTTGTTTATAAAACCTTGGAGAAGTCTCTGGAGATTTAAAAGCAGCCAGTAAATCCCTTAAGCCGGAACTACGGAAGTTCCGGCGAAATAGGTATTGACTGCGTGATTTCACGACCTTGTAAGTGACATTTCAAGCCTGAAGCAAGTAATGGTCATCAGCTTTCCTCCAAACTGTTTACGAATTGCCTTTCACCAACACAGTTCACATCGTCTTGACGCAATTTTGTCAATGATAACCTCGGGCTTGTAAAAAAGTCTGCAACTCCAGATTTCACGATGAACCAATTTCCGTAGTTGTTGTCTGGAAGCAGACGATTTTTGCCCGGTCAGCGGCGTTATTGACCCCCTGTCGAGAACTGTATCTCCTCCCTCAGTGGTTGTCCGGAGAACGTGCCAACACCACAACATCCGACGATGGTTCATGCACGCCGTATTTGCCTGCGGGTCTTCATTAAGACGGCCATATACCACTGGCGCCACATTCCAACCGTCGAGAAGTCAGACCGCTCACGTACTTCTGGGAGATATGAATGCTTAGAAGATATAGGCATGGCCGATTGATAGATTTAATACTTAGACCAGACACATTTGAAAGCCATTTATCTTGAGAGGCAATCAATGATTGAGCATTTGGCTCAGGTCAAACCCTAACGTTGATAGGACTGTGATTGGACCCCTAGAGCACAGTACGTTAACACGATGTCAAGGGACATTTTGGCGATGTAAGGTACCTTTTTACGGCAGAATGGCAATTTCTCCACCTCAACCAGTCATGTTCGTCATGCACTTGGCCTGGTAGAAGTCCGTTTCTAAAACACTGTGTGTGCTATTTGGCTTATATTCTAAGACTAAATTCATTTCCTTTTTAAACACCAAAAGCAAATATACTTCAATCGAAAAACACAGGAGTTTCTACAAATATATTCAAACCGGTGTTGTTAGATGCGCTCACAAAGTCGAAATGCGGAAGGTTCTTTGACAAAGACTCTTGACCACATCTTGACCAGGTAGTATAAGTGGCTAGACATGTATACTGATATCAGTTGACTTCCACTGCATACTAACAAATCTATCTCAGTCAAAATATGGTTCCTTTTTAGTTCAGTTAAGTGGACAATATTTTAAATATATATACATGCACACTTTAAACGTTGCAATACGTATCATAAACGAAATACAACTTAAGTTTTCCGAGATTATGAAGAACTTTTCCAATTTTGTTGTAAGTAAAGCGTTACCTCCCTCACACATTCACAACCGGGGCATGGACGATCGCTAATCAATAAAACGTATAAACCTCAGAGATAAATGCAAAAGAGCACATTATATGATGGCCTAAGCAACGCTGTGATAACCACGAGAGAAGTTCTTCCACTAGAACTCGTTTCTCTGACAAATTGTCTGATACTCCAGTAATAAGACAATGGATCATCCTTACGTGCAGTCAGCCAAATATAAAAAGGCCAGAGGGAGGCCAAGATAACTTCAACGTAGGCATACTTTGAATATATCAAACCAAATATTTGCAATCCATGTATAATAACTTTGGGCCGATGATCAAATAGCTTTGGTAAACAGCCTGATCCTCACCCTTGAAGATCATCAGCATTTGACGTACGCAAATCTTGGCTCCATGCTAGATCTACCTTGGCTTACGTTATCATCAGTGGGCACGGTGTACAGGTCTGTGGGAGAGAGATAAGGCCCTTTCAGAAGCACAGGGTGATACGTGACTCGTTGTTACTTAGGGACTAACGTATCACCCATTAGTCATTAGCAACATGTTCCCAGCTAGAGTCCAGACTGTCATATGTGTCTTTCATTTCCGAGTGTTTGGGAAGATTTACAGCGCTAACTGTACTCGGAGACGTAAGGAACCAGTTGCCCCAGTAACCTCAGGTTTCCTTCCACTAACGTTTGGCCAACACGGCCTGGCTTAATTATTTATGACGATGCCTCTGCGCATCCAAGGAAACGTCACGACCAGAACTTGTAATCTTTTCCAAACCGAGATAACTTTTTGTCAAAGGACACAGCAAACACAACTAGAACCCGAGGCGACCATCTTAATGACGTCCCCTTTTGTTACTTTAGTCGGTTATGGCAGTTTTCAAATTTAATTCTGCAAAAGTCTGTGGTGTGTCTTTGCGTGAATACACTAGTGAGGTCCGGGTTAGAATTGATCTTCAGTAACCAATGCTTGTCGTAAGAAGCAACTAACGGAATCGGGTGGTCAGGCTCGCTGACTTGGTTGACACATGTCATCGTGTCCCAATTGCGTAGATCGATGTTCATGATGTTGATCAGTGGATTGTCTGGTCCAGACTCGATTATTTTCAGACCGCCGCCATATAGCTGGAATATTGCTGAGTGCGGCGTAAAGGTAAACTCACTCACTCACTCACTTTGCGTGAATAAGCGTCTTCTCCCGACGGTTCTGCCCAAAGCTTGGTATCAAGAAACGTTACCATTGCAGTCGACATTGCGCTAACATTCATTCCCAGAATATTTCGCACTGTGAGTATTTTTATGGCTGATTAAAATCATTTCATTTCATGTCTGATCTTTGAATCTGATGTTGAGGTATATGTTTAAAAAAATATGCTTGACAACGATGATATGCTATCAATGTTTCTCGTTGACCTGCCTTATCTGACGTAAGTTAAGGACGATGCTTTGAAATACATTATACTGTCTTTTTGCAACTTCATTTAGAATTTATAGAAACATCGTATGTATAGGTGCTAGACATATATATTCCCTACTGCACTCAACATTGTAGGTCGTAAGTTGTGTATTTATGAGCCCTGTTTCATATGGTTTTATCGTACGCAATTTCATCGTAAGTAATGCAAATGATACGTCGTAAGTAATGTACTTACCTATGTATGATATTCGGATTGCACTCTGGAGGATATAAGAGCATTTTCCCTTCGTTCTTCCCTGCATTCCTTCCTTCATCATTTTGTTTAATTAAATATGGCTTATAGTCCGCTGTTTTATTAAATATGATGTAACATAATTGCTTATTGCTACCTACTTCAATATATATTGAAGAAATAAATATTTCCATACCACTTGACTGTATAGTCAGTTGTTCAACTCTTGCTTGTATCACTAAGCCCATATTCTGATTACAAAGCTAGCATTAGAACCTACATCCGTGATCTGATGCAGAAGAAGTGGGACACCCAAGTAGGTATTAATAAATTACATGCAATAAAACCCTACATTGGTTACACCTACTTGGGTTGTCAGTCCAGATTTGAAGAGGTCATTATGCGGCGATGTCGCATTTGCCACACTAGATATACTCATGAATATTTATTGAAAGGCGAAGATCCTCCGTTTTGCATCCCTTGTGATGAAAGAATCACAGTCAAGCATGTCCTGCTTGACTACATTGAATATTCCATCACAAGGGATAACTATATCAAAGTAAACACTATGAAGGATCGGTTTTAATAATGTCAGTTCTCATGTAATTATTGCATTTTTAAAAGAATTAGATTTGTTAAGTGATTTGTAAATAGATATATATTTTATTATTGGTAGTTTGAATTAGTGACTGAGATTGTTAGTGGTTGTACCCTCAAAGGGGGTTGAAGTATTGTAAAATTATTGTCCTCCTGAGAGGGTACGTAAGTCCCAAAACTTTCAAAGTTAAAGTTTTGCGTACCCGATTTTTAAACGTAGTATATTTGTTCCTTTAACTTTCGGCTAAAGATGTCCTACAATCGCCAGCGGCTGAAGGGATGGTGTAAATCCAACTAGGGTCCATGCAGGTAGCAAAGGCACTGTAAGTCCCCATGGTCCCTAGTATGGTGATCTAACTTCAGTTGTTGGCGATTTATAGCCCAATTTTACATTGTATTGTCCCAAAATAGTTTTCTCCTTTAAAGATATATGCTAGCTAGTTTTAACTCAATCTGTGATAATCTAGTGGTTTTACTGTCCTTCGTTGACAGGGTTTTATATATTATATGTATGTATTATAAATTTAGAACTAGTTTTAGTCACGATATGGCTGAAATATTGCCGATGTGACTTTAAATCTTAACTCACTCACTCACTGTATCACTAAGATAAGGTAAAGGAATGGGCAATATGTATTTGACTGGTAGACTAAAATATTCCACATTTTCAGTGAGTGTTCATATATACTGAGAGAAACAAATAAAGGAATACAGGACCATGACCAGGGGCGGTGGGATAGCCTAGTGGTAAAACGATTCGCTCATCGACACGGTTTCGATTCTCCAGATGGGTACAGTGTGTGAAATATTGGTAAAAGTGGCGTAAAACTAAACTCACTCACTGTTGCAGATCAGCTGACATCACTCAACAACTACGCGTTCCACAAGGCCAGCACTCAGTCCTCCACCGACCTGACGGCTGATTTCAAACCGGAAGAGGACGGGGATGCCGTGTTGGCCGTGGACGGCAGCATCAGCACCTGCTCAAGAACAGGTATAGGCACCTTTCTTGTTGGGAACCTTCTTAAAATTTATCATAATTTATCATGGTAATGATATAAAAATGATTATGCACATATATATGATTCATATAATTAATAGGAGCATATTTAAAAACACGCCGATAACGAAACATCTATTGTAATTAGGTAAACAATTTATCAATAATAAATGCTCTCTGAGGTTATCGGTATTTTGATACTTACTAGCTTGTTTGTTTGTTGTTTGTGCTTGGGAGTGAAACTACCGAAAATGTGTTTACAAGTGATGTCGCGCGACCTTTTGGGCATGTTGCTGTGGAAACCGAATTTAAAATTCCTTGAGCGCAATAAAACAAACGACACTGCCTACTTTTTACAAGAACGTAATTCTCAGAAAAAAGGAAAGCGTCTTTGCGTTTCAAAAGAATATTAGACACTCACAAACTATACAATTCGGCGTGCGGACTGGTGTGGAAATTAATCGAGTGATCTTTTGGTTTTCCGTCTGAACTGTATGAAATACTAATGGCATTTAAGGCAGATCTAAGATGGAAAGGGATATGGTTTATGTACGACTAAGCTATTCAGCATTTCCCTCCGACTGACAGTAAAATCTCCCATCAGGAGGAGTGGGAGACAATAGGCAATTTCAAGAAGCTGCAAGAGCTTGCTGGATTCCATCCCTCGAGGAGGGTGGAAAAAGCTTATTACATAGCTTCGTGGAAAAAAAGAAGTGTCATTTTGAATTAATGTTTTTATGATAGAGTAACGTGGAGTGTGTTTGTGAAAGATCCCTGTACTATGGAATGAATATTGTTGCCTAGGTATAATCAATCTATCGAGTATGAAGGGCTTGGCATCAGTCACTTAACCGTATATTACATTCTCAGCAGTTTGAAGGATGGAGCCCGACATTCTTGACAGAATGTATTGGACCGGAGTTTGGCGAGAGAGGATGCTGATTTGACTGTTTGTCCAGCTTCATCTGGCATCTTGGTCGTGCTTATTTTGCCTGTTATGTTTGATCTACCTCATTGTGTGCTCCCCTGATCTTCTTGGTATTTCAGACATAGTCAATAAAAAAGTATTTATTCATGTTTTATGTATCTATAGACGCTGAGACCGACCCAAAGTGGCAGGTGGATCTGAGTCGTTTGATCGCCGTACGGAGCATCAGGATATTCAGCAGTAATACCAGTGGTAAGAAAAACATCAGCTGAAGCTTATGACTAACTTCAGCTTATACCCCTGTACTTTAAAATGCACCGTTTAAAACTGTCCTTGTGGACTGGTGATCCTGTAGAATTGTCTGAAGACGTTTTCATAGATACTCTAAACTAGAAACACTACATCTGAAGTTGCTCACTTAAAGGTCCAGTCCACTGACGTTGCATTTTCGTATCTTATTATGTCAGTTTCTATATTGTCTGTAAGCGGTGGAGTAGCCTAGTGGTTAAAGCGTTCGCTCGTCACGCCGAATACCCAGGTTCGATTCCCCACATGGGTACAATGTGTGAAGCCCATTTCTGGTGTCCCCCGCTGTGATATTGCTGAAATATTGCTAAAAGCGGCGTAAAACCATACTCACTCACTCACTCACTTGTCCAGACTGAACTATTCAATATAACAGAATGAGGCATTAAACAAACAAATAAAGACACACAACAAGTGCTCACAATAAAGTCAGTACTGTACAATCCACTATGCTTTTACTAGAGATATCTTATGGATGTGGAAAGGAAAACCAAGTGATCACTTGTTTGATAACGGTGGTAGTACCTACACCGGAACGTCGCTCTCATTGCAATAAAATTGACTATCCATAGAACTTGATTTTCCTTCGTCTTTACAAATTCTAAAATGCCTCTCGAAGAAGATGTGGAAAGGGTTTTCCCTTATATTATTATTGCTAAACCGTAGGATGAGCCATATCAATCTTTGATTTTCCTACCGACTTGAACATACAAATAACGCTAAAACTTACGGAAATAATAGCTCATGCTTATAGAGATGCGAAATGTTTTAGGGGAGTTTAAAGGATATCAAAATAATGACTGATTGAAGTCTCTCATACCAGCTAAGGAACGTATCCCTGTTATGAAGAGGGACATATTGTTGAATATCGATTACTTAAAAGCCAGGTCGACGCCAAGTCCCTAATCTGTATCGATCATGGTATGTGCATATGGTCTTTTGTGAAGTATTTACAGACTGGTATCGCTTTCCTTGTAGAATTAGATTGCACAAGCATGACCGTATTTTGATCGAGGTGTTTTTATTTAAGTTGGACGGGAAATGGTATCGATTTGTATCGCTTGTGTTTCTTTGTTTATTCTGGCTCAAAACATTCGTTAATCAATTCTATCACTTTTTCGGACAAGGAGTTATTTGACTCGATGTTTGGCACGCCAGTAATTAACGATCAGACATCTATTGCTCATGCTTCTATTTTTTTTAAAACGTAACAGAAGATTGAAAGAAGATTAATATAGTTCTTTCACAAATGAACTGGTTGATTCCTGAAGAACGCGCAACAAAAAAATAATGTTTGTTAATACGAGATCGTCATTCTTCGAAAAGTTTAATCTGGACTTAATTCTGATACCAATGTAACAAGTTTCACCTCATCGATGGAAATTGTACTCTGTTCTGTACAAGTGTCACATGTGTTCTCCACAAGTGTCACATTCTGTTCTGCACAAGTGTCACATGCTGTTCTGCACAAGTGTCAGCTTCTGTTCTGCACAAGTGTCACCTTCTGTTCTGTACAAGTGTCACCTTCTGTTCTGCACAAGTGTTACCTTCTTTTCTGTACAAGTGTCACCTTCTGTTCTGCACAAGTGTCACCTTCTGTTCTGCACAAGTGTCACCTTCTGTTCTGCACAAGTGTCACCTTCTGTTCTGTACAAGTGTCACCTTCTGTTCTGCACAAGTGTCACCTTCTGTTCTGCACAAGTGTCACCTTCTGTTCTGCACACGTGCCACCTGTTCTGCACAAGTGTTACTTTCTGTTCTGCACAAGTGTTACCTCAGTTATGAACTGGAAACTAATTGTTAAAATCAAACAGTTTCGAAATCTTGCTTTTCGTCTAAACCTTTATGGTTTCCAACAAACAACTATTCAACCATTTAAGATATAACCGATACTTCCGATGGATCGACTTTTGGCGAATACATGTGCTGATCATGTCTCAGCCCTCTTAGGTGCCTTTGTCCCACTGCAGTAACTTCTTGTTGAACTTCTAATGTTAATACGCTAAACATAACCACGATACCACGAGTACTTTGATACTACTAATAGCACAACTATTTCCAGTGGACGTTGTGCAATATTAATTTCACGTATTTATCGATTTCTATGAATATCGAGATTACATGTGTACTCTTCCCGTCTATCATCATCACAAAGATTCAGCCACAGGTCGTATTTCACACTTCAGTTTTATGTCATAGTTCTCTGTCTCAGTCGTAATCCGATGAGAACGAAAGGAACAATCTTCCTCTCACCATATGAACGTGAGATAACTCGTTTCGATGCCTGTCTACAACAGGAATGCCTGTCTAGAAATCTATTAGAACTGCCAATCAATTAGTAATTTATCGAGATATTGGCTGTATCCCGAGAGAGCTCACACAGGGAGAAGCGAGTGGGTGAAGAATTGAGGTAGACAGCACATGTAGGACTTGAGATATCCACTCAGACAAGACCTACAGAATTCATATCACTTATTAACTTTTGGATTTTGGATATTGAAATATTCTTTTTACTTTGTCATATTAAAAAATCAATTTGACTTCCTGAATCCTTGCGGATTTTCAAACTAAGCAAGCATTTCAGCCAAATGTGATTGAGTGGTGTTTTCTTGAAATGGAGAGATGCAGCTTTCCAATTTCAAATAAATGAAAAGCTGGTACTGTTAACTCATTTCTTGTCACACTACGTGTCCTCCAAAATGTGGCTAAGTGGTCAACCAACGACACTGCGGCAAACAACCTATATCACTCACTCGTTCCTGGTATGGTGATCTACCTTCAGTTGCTGGCGATCAGTAGCATGTTTTTATTTTGTATTGTTTTCTGTAGTAATAGATTTTATTACAACATACTACTCTTATATCAAATCTGTGATATTCTTGTATTCATACTGCCCTTCGACGACATATTTATAAAGTATAGATTTATTTTGGTTTAATGTATAGATTGTTGTCGTCACGATGTGGCTGAAATACTGCCGATGTGACGTTAAATATTAACTCACTCACTCACTCACTCACTCATTTTCGTTCATACTCACAGCAAAATGGCGAGGTACTAAATCATATGTGTTTTTCCAGTTCTCCACGATTTTGACGTGTACCTCGGGGTTGCGCCACACGCCAGTCACAAGAAACTGTGCTTTCATCACCAAGGCATCGTACAATCTCGTGACACACGGATAGTGTGTGACGAAGCAATGAGTGGAAGGTATGGGTTTTTCACGTTTATAGAAACAAATATTATTTTGAGAACAATGTATATGAAGCTAATGAAATAAACGAATAATGATATGACGATACATGCTACATGTACGTGCTAGTGCTGTCATTTTTACGGTAATAAAACTAATCAAAACTTCATACATAACACTGTTCTATGAACATTTATACAATGTGCACATACATGTATACATACATTACACAGAATATTGTTCTATACACACACTGTCCAACGAGACCTAGAACTGCAGTAGGATGGTTTTCATGTCCAGAGAACAGCCAATGTTAACTTGGTGGAGTCCCACTTAACGCGTCCGTCACTTAGGGCATCATTTTTTGTGTCTCACGTAGTCACCAAATTCTGAACATGGGTCGGTCGGAAAAAAACACTTAATAAAGACAAAATTATCTGAATAATGTTCTTGATTCTCATTTATTGTAATTCTTATTACAATTTCTCGCGTTCGTTGGACTTGTGGCAGCGACTGATTATAAGATAAACATTATATATGACAAGGCGGTACGTTTTAGATTCGAGACGGCGGTGTTGGAGTGAAAAATAGTTTGGGGGAGGGATCGGCAATAAAAATAGAAGTGTCGGTCGGGCGATGAGAAACAAAAAAAAAATTAAATAGTTGCCCTTGTAATTTAGGAACAAGGTTGATGTTCATTAAATGCTGATGCCTTTGCTTCATACCAATTGCTTCGAATATTATTCACCACGAGTGACATATCATGAAGCGTGTGGCTACGTCATCAAACAGCAATGTCTCTGGGTACGAGATGATCGGTAGACGATGATTATACGTCTCTGTCTGCTAGGTGACTGGCCAATGATGAATATACTCTCTGTATACTAGGTGACTGGCTATACCTCTGATGTCTGAAGCCATATCGGCAGACAATGTATATACTTTATCTTCCACTAGGTCCTCTCAATAGACGATGAATATATATTTCTGACTACCAAACTAAACTCTGTCAAAAAAGAAACGCAACCCCTGTCCTCAGATATGAAAAATTCGTTTGAATGAAGTTATTGCTTCCAAACTAAATTTTATTCGAATGTATTGAAATGATACACGTAATTAATGAAGATTACCATCCAAACAACTGCATTTGTACGCATAAGTGTATTTTATTGCTTATTCCGTCACAACGCATGAAATGACCCTCATGGTGACTTCGCACAAAAAAAACACATGCAAATCATGAAAATGGCAGTTAATGTAGGGGTGTATAAAGCCCATGTGCTTCCGTATTATATTCATTCATTTGTCGCCGAAAAGCTGTGTTAAAATGCCACGATTGAGTGCTGCCGACCGAAATATCGCCATTGGTCGTGTTCAAGCCGGAGAAAGTTTTGGAACTGTTGCACGGCACCTAAATGTTCACAAAACAACGATATCCCGACTTTGGAGCCGCTACAACAACTTCAATTTGACCAACGATCGCCTGAGAAGTGGAAGGCCAAGAATCACGACCCCTTCAAGATCGGTACATCCGGGTCCATCACCTGCGTAATCGGCATGCCCTACCAACCGTGACTGCCACACAAATACCAGGTTTGAGGAGAGTGTCAGCTCAAACGATTAGGAACCGTCTGAAAGAAGCGGGTTTACGTGCCTGTAGACCAGTTGTTGACCTGTACTACGCCCCTACATCGACGCCGACGACTCAGGTGGTGCAACAACGTAAGGATACGGACTTTACAAAACTGGAGGCGAATCTGGTTTTCTGATGAATCACGTTTCTTTGCAACGTCACGACGGAAGACAGCGTCTGTATAGGAGACGTCATAACGTTTTGCGCCCATCTGCGTCCGACAGGTGGACAGATTTGGCGGAGAAAGCGTCATGGTTTGGGGAACCATCTCATACAACCAGAAATCATCAGACTTGGTGATCGTTCCAGGGAACCTGACAGCCCAACGTTACATCAACCACGTGTTAGAGCTTCACCTTCTCCCGATTATTGACCAACAGACACAGATTTTCAACGGGACAACGCCCGGCCTCATACTGCACGTGCAACAATGAACTTTCTGCAGAATTCCAACGTCAATGTCTTGCCATGACCCTCTAAATCACCAGACCTCAACCCTATTGAACACCTGTGGGATACTCTGATCGACGCGTACGTCAACGTCAGCCGCCGCCACAGACGCTGCAACAGCTCGCCGTTGCACTGCAGGAGGAGGGAGAGCCATTCCCCAGGAAAGAATCCGGCGTCTTATCCGTTCTTGTCCAAGGAGATGCCGTGCAGTGATTGCAGCGTGTGGTGCTCATACGAGATACTGAGAAAGACGCCCCCTGGTGACAAACTGGTGTCTGTGAGATGACTTTGAAATGACAATTTTAAACATGCCCATCTGGGTTATTATTCTGCCAAATTTCAGACTTCTGTCTTAAATAATAAAATGCCGTGTCGTCCTAAAACTTCAGATCAAAATCTCTAAAATACAGGGGTTGCGTTTCTTTTGACAGATTACATGGATAGGACTTATGCGACTGGCATTTGATGTGATATATTTGCAACATGAACATACTGTAATTGGTCTTATGCCGGAACCCTTTGCTCCATTGGTAATACATACTGGCAATCAAGTCTAACCTTACAGCCATTTCATGTAATATTCTTCAATTCGCTTACCGCTGAAGTCAAATATGCGTATAATAACCAGCTCAGAACATAGTATAGGGTAGAGGGATAATCTACCCGTAGCATGTTTTATTCATTATCCGCACTGATAGAGGGGCCTTGCAGAATTCGTTTGCTGCAAGATGGACTGGCTCGTAAGATGATTTAATCAATATGAGGTATAAGTGGAGTAATGCCACGCTGCTGCAATCGATTTCATCATTATCAGATCAATAATTTACTAGTTATATGACTGATTAGCTGCGGGATCAATAGCAGACAGATAATGAGCTAATTTGGTCAGTGGTTGAATATAATCTCATATCGCGCGACCTTGCAGGACGTGTCCCTGTAAGCTTAATACGGTGAAATATATTGGCGAGAGTCTGGCTTAACTCCGCCTGCAAGACGTTTGGACATCAGCATAAATCACAACACGTATAAATATCTCACTGAGTAGATTTGGTTTCTGTTGTTTCCACAAAGATATATATGGCTATGCCGGCCACCTTTATGGCTATGCCGCTATGGCCTTGCCGAAGTCCAGCTGATACTGTATCAGTGATAGTGACAATATCCCATGGACGCTGTCAATGATCATGTCCAAGCAATATTGTCCCTTTGACCCCGCAAATCGAAATAGTGTTACATGTTTTTGGATATATTCTCAGTGAAACTAAACCATTCTATTAAAGATGTTTAGTTAGATGTGTAGAATCGTCAAAAATATAAGAGTAAAACAAATCTGTACATCATATTGAATGGACATTGCAGAGGTACTATGCTGGCTTTGACCATGACGATGTCCATCACTATGGCCCCGGCGATATAAAAGCGATATTGTCCATTTGACCATGACGATGTATAAGCGATATTGTCCATTTGACCATGACGATGTATAAGCGATATTGTCTATTTGACCATGACGATGTGGAAGCGATATTGTCTATTTGACCATGATGATGTGGAAGCGATATTGCCCCTTTGACCATGACGATGTGGAAGCAATATTGTCCCTTTGACCATGACGATGTATTGTCCCTTTGACCATAACGATGTGGAAGCGATATTGTCCCTTTGACCATGACGATGTATTGTCCCTTTGACCATAACGATGTGGAAGCGATATTGTCCATTTGCCCATCACGATATGGAAGCGATATTGTCCCTTTGACCATGACGATGTGGAAGCGATATTGTCCCTTTGACCATGACGATGTGGAAGCGATATTGTCCCTTTGACCATGACGATGTGGAAGCGATATTGTCCCTTTGACCATGACGATGTGGAAGCGATATTGTCCCTTTGACCATGACGATGTGGAAGCGATATTGTCCCTTTGACCATGACGATGTGGAAGAGATATTGCCCCTTTGATCATGACGATGTCCAAGCAACATTGTCCATATGACCATGACGATGTCCAAGCAATACTGTCAATTTGACCATGACGATGTGAAAGTTATATTGTCACTATGGCCAAAACGATGGCCAAACGATACTGTTGAAAGTGCCTCCTTGTCGGTGATAGTGATACTGGCAGCATAGCCTTTTTGTCTCAGTTATCGTGTTACCGAACAATAGTGTCATTCTGGCGGTGACTGTTCCAGCGATACTGTCTGTTTGTTAGTAACACTTTAGAAAGAATAACGAATATATGGCCATGGCGAAAGTAATGTTTTGAGGATGACTCCAGATTATATTGTTTCTCTAAATGTGACAATGTAGAGCATTAGTTTCACAAATCCATGTACATCTTTGACGAGTCATTGGTACTCTGAAGCTCTGAGATTGTTCTTTTTAATATTTCTAGTGGTGCATTGTCACTTGTGGATCTGTCAATTTTGAAAGTGCACACAGAAATTCTAGTCAAATTCATTCATGTTCTTTGAATAGAAACATCCATTCCCTCTTGCTTTTTCTTCACAGACGCAATTAAAGTTGTGCCTTATACTCAGTCAATACCGCTACAACAAATGCATGTACTTATAAAAACACTCTACCTGCTTCTGTCAGGTATGTCTTTGAACACACTAATAGCGAATCGATATTATTTATATGGATTTGCGATACCTCTGAAATAATTCATGTAAACTACTTTCTTGCAGCATTATGCTCTGGTATAATGCGCAGTGTGATTACAATACTTTATATCGTACAATACTTTATATCGGTTTTTCGTCGGGAGTGCGTCATCATCTTTCTTTTGATCGCGGCTACAAATAGCTGCACAATTGTTGATGTTAGCAATAGTGTTTTGTTGTACGTCAATATGAAACAGAAATGTATTTTAATATACAGCCTTAAGATATGTGTCGAACGCAGATATGGAGTTATTACGATTTCAAATTCATCATTCTGAAAAACGTTTTCATGCTTGATTCGTTTTAACGGAAAGGAAATAGTTCCTCATTATTACAGCAAACAACTTTTGTCCTAAGCAAGAATAACATATATACATTGGATAGAGATGAAGAAATATATTTTGCTTGAACACTCTGCTATTGATGTTTCAGGTTTCTGACGATCGTTCTACGAACTAGTGGCTACAAGCTGGAACATTTAGTATTGTGTGAAGTCATGGTATTTGGAAGGTGACGTCATACACGTGACATGCGATGTCGTACGAAGTTCTTGTCAGATACACTTGGATGACACAGGAGTGAAACCTGAATGACGGAGGACATGTTTCAAAGAAGTCAGACTGACCCTGTTCAGTGTCATCAGTGCTGCCCAACGGCGCCAAAGACATGATGTCTTGTCGAAAGACCTCGCTGCCTTTCTGTCGGTGTTGCTTTTGACATATGTATACTGAGACAGTTCGGTATGGAGTTTTGACATCTGCTTCCTAAAGCGGAAGGAAGTATATTGTGCTTTGTATAACTTTACCAGACTGTACACACTAGAGACTGTACTCATATAGTGCAAAACTGCACCCATGTTGTACAGAAGTACGTGACATTACTGCACGCAAATCAACTGTAAAGGCCGTGTGATGCTACAGTAACATATTATTGTCACAAACAAAACCATGATGGAGACCCTGCCATGCGATCCTGGAACTTCATTTAGCAGGTCGTATACATCCGTGTATATGTAGGAACAGATGCCTTCTGTGTGTTTTAATCGCAGCATTTTGTGCGACCAACGGGATATGATCATATACTTCATGTCAATATTATTTTTCAAAATCCGGTGTATATATTTTGTATCATGTGTTTTATATTGTCAATTAACATGATCCCCAAAATGCTTGAAGGATGGTCTTGGTTCTACCTTGAAAGAAGTCGACATGCTATCATTAGATCTGATTGCGTATTGTGTTTCTTCACTTGGTCAAATTGTTACAGGTCACGTATAACAATTACTTATTTTCTCTTTCTCGTCTGGCGGTATGTCAGATAAAGCCCGACCCTTAATTTAACCTGGCTAAGCATGCATTGTATTTGCCCAAGGGTTACATGTAACATATGTAAGGGAGCCTTGCACGTGTCAGGATGTCTTCAATGGTCTCCATGGTTACAAGTAACTGTCCTACGTTGAACGAGTTTGAATGTTTTCATACATATGACCGCCTTGAGACACGTTGCTTTTCTAACACCTGTACGTGCTGAAGGTTGTTTGTTGTTTGTCAAAAACAGGTTTCTTGGCTACTCTGTCTCGATTCCAGTACATTCGTGTCGAGATACGTGTTTGGTGCTACCAATCATGTCGTAGTTCCTTCATGACATGCTCGACTTCCCAATGTATCTATCTTCCCTCTATTGCAATACATATCCGCAAGCCCAAGTTCCGTCGTCACATCAATTTCTCTTATCCTACAAAAAATTGGATTTCTGTAGCCCATCAGTGTAATTACACTGAATATGTTTTAGTTCCATGTCATTTGATTCGGTCTCAATACGTGTAGGTCAGGTAGAAAATTGTTTCAGGGCATTTATCACAACAGAAGGAAGATATCATAACTTGGGTAGTCGAGGATTGTTTCGTGGTTGCCTTTTAAATGTTCATTATAACAAAAGCCTGTGGTGTAAATATAGTCTTTTGTACGGAACAAGACTTTGTTTTTGGCAGAATTAACACATATTAGTTGTGCTTTGCTTAATGTTTTTTTAAGCTATGATTTATAAGTAATTCTGGAGTCGCACAGCTGAACCAACAGATGCCGTTGTTGTTGTCTCATTTAACTGTAGAGTTAAGGGTTTATCAGATTGTCATGCCTATGACCCAAAACTTACTGGACAAAGCATAGTTCCCTCATGACTTCAAAATACCTTCATGTGTTTGATACGAAATCCACAAACAGACAATAAACCTTGATCCGTCATCAATGCATTTACAACACTGTCAGTGTTGGTCACACAGTGCTGACACGCTGAGATACAACAAATATTCTGTTGTAATACATGGTAAGCCATCTCGATGTCGTGTGACAGTTCTGCCAAATGGAAACTTGAAATCCTTCAAATGTCACCAAGCTCTGTCCCACCGTCATGGGACTAAGGTGAAAAATGAAATGACAGTGTTGACATTTATGTTAACATTCTCGTGCAATAACAATATTACATGTTGTTTTGGTGCCAATGCTGATGATGATAACAAATGTTGAAGAATGTTTCTCTGATGTTCCTTAAAGACTGATTGTTTAATTATCCAACTCATTCAAACGTTTAACCAACATAACCTGTTTTGACAATGACTCATTCGGTTTTAGATTTCGCGTTCGAATAAAGTGTACTTATTTCAAATATTGTTACACATTTCAATATTTCCATTGCCTTCGAATTTTATACAACTTAACAGGGTACTAACACCCTCCTCAAGCATATTACAAAACAATATCGTACATTCGACTGCTTCTCTCCATTCTTTGTATGAAGAAACTATGATGAAATTTACATTTAATAAAACTGTACAAAGGATGCACTTTTTTGTTGTTTTTTCCTCTGGTTTGTGTTCTGTTGTTTAAGCACATATTAAGAAATAGATAAGCACATAACCAAATTCTGAAACCAGTACTTGACAGCACAAGATCAATACATAATCAATAGGTTATATTGAAACATCCATGTTTAGTTTTACAATGAAATATGACAATACGATTGGTCAAGTTTGTAGTAGCAATAAGTGACAGGCCCTTGAGGTAAATGTTCGTGCACTCAGAATAACGACACTGTTGAATGTCTTGAAAGATGGCTTGTTTCAGGTCTAAAATCCAGAGTAGTGTTGGAAGCTGGCAGGAAATTCGGAGTCTTGGAATAGGTTCTTAAATCTCACTAGGAAAGCAAAAAATAATAAAAAATCCCACTGGAGGTCGAAAAAGGCATCTAATCCCTCTCCCGCCCATCTTATAGTGGACCAACAAACTTTGTAGAAAATGTCTCTTGGCGAATCATCTATAGAACAAACAAGGCTGTTTGATGTACACACTAGGGCAGATAACTCTACATCCGGTACATAACCTTTCTGGAAAGCTTTGTTGTCAACTGCGGTTCCAATCTAGCCATGAGAGCACTTGATATGTTCTTAGTCGTAGTTCCATCACATGCCTACACTAAAAAATATCATCATGTTATTCATAACTGTCTCTTCAGCCACTAATCAGCACATAAACAGACAGTTCGAAAGTATTTACAGGGTAAAGTCTCAAAAGTCCAACATGTAGAAATATGTAACAGGTCACTTTACAAAATAGCACATGACACTTTAAAACAGTTTCAACGCATACAGCATCTTCCAGTATGTAGTCATGTTTAAGGTACCGTCTCATTCAGTAATAACATAACAAATTTGAATGAAAAATAATTCTTCCTCTTCACATGTGATTCTCGCAGATATTCACTAAACATCCCGCCAGACATTTCGAATACGTGCGATCAGGAAATAAACTACACCTTGTCGTTATTTAAGAGCTTGGTTCGTAACATCCAATCATTAAAGTTATATTAAATCTTTTCACGATCTCATTACAGTTTTAAAGTTTTAATAGGAGACGTTACATTAACCTTTTGTCAGACTTTAGTAGACATTGTTCCAAGTCCTCCTCTCAATTCCAAATATAGGGTGAAAAGGGTATTTGTGCAGCCGTACATCAATCCCGCCCCAAGTCGCTGTCTTCGTGTGATCTATCGCCTGTCGTATATTCCTGCAATACCGAGGAACCTGATTCATTTTATTTTTTTGTAATTTTCAGTCGTTCATAAGATGGGCTACCCAACAGCCAGTTATCTCGATGAATTACTCCATATATCATCAACTGCAATAGCACCAAGGTCGGAATAATTGTCGACACGCGTTCCTTCAAATGCCGCAATTTTTAAACATATACCATTTTATAAATATGAAGAACGAAATGTTGTCATAAGATGTGACTGCACCAACAACAGTAGCCTGGGACAAGGGGTTGCCACATGAGAGAGTCCTCGTGGGTAACAGTACTTCAACTTAGAAAATAGTATACGATTTGAGCAAACAATCTTCAGGCAATCCTATGTTTAACCATACCAGTATGGTTACTTTACAGTGTGATTAATTTACTCATTTTCCGTACATTTGCTCATTTTCCGTATCTAGGGAGATGGGGTCGGTAGTCTGAAGCGCCACAATTAGTCGTTGATGAGCTCTTTGTCTTTGACGTCCATGAATCCTGCAGTCGTGGGTTTGAATCCCAGCTTCTCCCTGACAATGTTTGTAGGTTTGTCAGAAGCAGTTGCTCCCTGCTCGTGAGTTCCAGCAGTGTGGCAAACGTCGACTTCAGGACCCTTATTCTCGAAACGTTCGTAGCCCTAAGAATTCTAACTTTGATCGTAGCCAATGTGTTAAGAATGGGCTTAAGAAGTTCGTAGGGCTACGAACGTTTCGAGAATAGCTAGCCAGGATCGGTCCATAGGCCAGACGTCTTTGAACGTAACATAACGCAAGCAATCATTAGCGTTAGAAATATCCACAACCGTTGTGGGTGGATCAATACACCCACCCTTGTACGGAGGTGTGGTGTGTCCGATAAAGTACACGTCCCTGAAAGAGTAACACCATGGTATTTTCTAGAATGACAGAATACTGTGCATTCTGCTTGACGCTTCCGGGGCCGAGACGTTAATCTCAGTAGACAGTATAACCTATTTAATCGTTTACAAACCGAATAGTTAACTGCCACTGACAGTGAACGTGGTGTCATCCCTGGTCTACAGTGCCGATTCATATAATGTCATCATGTTATTTTTCTTTCACGCCCGATGGAATTGTTTCGAAAGATAATTGAGACTGATGTTTCTCAGGGGTGACGTTATCAATTTTCATTGTCGACTCAAAACTATATGGCAAATACGCATAACCTTGAAGTTATGCTGACATACAGAACTGACAACTTTCTCCAGCAGCGGAATGTTGTTCATCAATACGTTGACGTATGTAGAAGAATCTGCTGTGAAAACAACAAACAATAAATAAGTGTTCACCAAGTTGACAAATGTATTCTGAATTATGGAGATTACAAACGATACAAGTTACTGGAGAAGGAATCACGTGGCAGTACACAACAGCAGTACAAATACAATGGCGATGTTGTGATTACAGTAATAAAGACAGTGATGAAATATTACCCAAGCTGCAACAGTCATCAAGCTTCTAAAAGAATCCCAGCCAAGGAATTCAGGGTGAAAGATGATCTTCACATAACTGCTGTTCCTGTTGGAATGCGATTTGTAATTCGAGATGATCCTGACATAAATGCCCCTTTATCTATATTGAAGCTATAGTCTATAAATCATCAAAGGGTGCCATATCGTTTCAGATTCATCGTCGAACCAAGGACCTTAGATAACAGGGAGAACGCCTTGTTTACATTACCTAAGAAGCTAGCCCTGTCAGTAGGTTAGAAAGTCGTGGGCCTGGAACATGTTTTATTTATCAAAGGAAACTTGGCTTGCCCATAGTTCAGACAAACTGATTTCTTTTTTAATTGTTTAAAGTTGGTTTATTATCCTTAAAAAGTATGAGAATTATCTGTCACGATGTATGTATATACTTATTTTCGTATTTTTTATGCTTCCGTGAAAACAGGAACTTTGAAGTTTGTATTTACGTTTGACCGCGATCTGCCACAATGACGAGAGTACCTCTGTTTCCAGGCTTAAACTTGGAAAGTATTTCTTCAGCGCGCCATTAAACAGCTCTTGCGCTTATTTTTACCTCTATGGCTACACGTACATGTACATTATCTGAATTCATAATCAACCAAGAGTTGTTTAAAAGAAAATTCTTTGCCATTATCATATGAAAACACATTTTTTTTTAGTCTAACCTACATGTACATGTACCTAAAGTGCAGGTGTTTTATGTATGTCTAGGAACATGTGTTTGACTCCAGCGTTGTGCAGGTGTATTTGTTACGTTTGAGTTAATTGCTATTGCTCTAGGATACACATATTGATTTATTGTAATTACAGCAATGCTAAAATCAACTAACACGTGGCTTCTGAAATTTGTCATTTATAATGGAATAATTCCAGAGGGAGCCACTAAGTGCCTAGCACAGAAACAGTCAATTGTAGTTCAAAAGACTTTTTGTGATCCTTTCACAAGACCGACAGCAAAGCCAATAAACCATGTGTTATTCTGCACATAGACAAAGAAGGTGCTGTATGTCTGTATGTGGAAAAGTGTCAGAAACATTGCATTTAATGAAGAGTATGCGGAGATGTAAATGAAACAATGTTCCAAACAAAGATTCTAAAATCGACGTGTCCTTAAAGTTCATGAACTTTAGGCAGAAGATACACTACAGCCAAGTCAGCTCTTTGTCTTTCCAAACAATGACGAACAGACAACACTTTTGTTGTTGTCCATTTAAATGTCAGGGAATTAGATATTGTGACAAAAATATCAGTTTTTCCATTGAATTTTTATTGAACACATTGCTTGTAGAAACCTATTAAAAGGTAGTCAAGTGAATTACCCAGACAACTATATTGATGGGAAGTAATGCACTACATATGCTCATTGCATTGTCGATGCACAATTCAGCCTGTCCCAGTACCACAGTGACGAGCCCGCCAACAGCCTATCTGCAATGCGAGTCAAGCACGACAGTGCGTCAGACTGGGAGCTTCCCAGACACCTAACACAGCACATATGTATGTAGAGCATATTCCCCATACATAATCAGATTAACGTGTCAGTCTGACCTGGTGCGAGGCTCGGGGTCCTAAACAGCAGGTCGCGTTTCCACAAGAAAGGCCGGTGAGCCCGCCTGCAAGAGGGTGTGACAAGATGGTGTTATCATGTCAGCATGTCAGCACATCCGCACTCCCGCCAGCACATTAGGCAAGTCAGGCAGCAATAACGCTTGTGCAGATGACAGGAACGACTCACTTCAGACAAGCGACGTCGGGTACTCATCACTAACAAGAACTACTATCTCTGGATGATCGACCAGGAACACTCTTCATTAAAGGCTACCATGTACTACCTGAAATCGACGCTGGGCTAAGGACAGGGAGAACATAACATGATTCAGGTCATGTCCAATCCAATCTGTGATTGCCTTTGGCAGTTTGATCAAAGGTACGTACTAGGTCTCTGATTAGTACGACAAGTAGAACTGAACCACGAGAACCATCTAAGAAGCCCAAATATGTGCCACCAGCAGCTGGTAAAAAACGTCAAAGTCAGAGAAAGACCGGTCTCAATTATCTGCCTTAACAGATTCCAAAGGGCCAAAAAGGCCAAATAATGGTGAGAGTTATATGAATGGATCACTCAACAACCTTCACACCCCCAGATTGTTTGTTCTAGCACATACTTCAGATGTAATGTTTATCCCGCTAAATCTATACCTCCATGTATATTCGCCATGTTTCATACACCAGTGTGACTGAACAAGGTCGAGGAGCGCGACAAAATCAGGTCATGTTCTCATGGA